CCGGCTGTCCTGGTTGACCCGGTTGTCCTGGGTAGCCTGGACTACCTGGTTGTCCCGCAGTGCCAGGTTGTCCTGGTTGTCCTGGGTAGCCTGGTTGTCCTGGTTGACCCGGTTGTCCTGGTTGACCCGGTTGTCCTGGGTAGCCTGGACTTCCCGGTTGTCCCGCAGTGCCAGGTTGTCCTGGTTGCCCTGGAGTTCCTGGTTGACTTGGTTTTCCTGGGTAGCCTGTTTGACCTGGTTGGCCTTGTTGTCCTGGTTGGCCTGGTTGTCCTGGAGTTCCTGGTTGTCCTGGAGTTCCTGGTTGTCCTGGATATACAGGTCCACCAGTTTGTCCTGTGGTGCTTTGCTGTCCAGGCTTTTGTGGGTATCCTGGTTGACCTGGTTGCCCTGGGTAGCCTTGTTGACCTGCCTGTCCTGGAGTTCCTGGTTGTCCTGGAGTTCCTGGTTGTCCTGGAGTTCCTGGTTGTCCTGGAGTTCCTGGTTGCCCTGGGTAGCCTTGTTGACCTGGCTGTCCTGGAGTTCCTGGTTGACCTGGAGTGCCTGGTTGTCCTGGGTAGCCTGTTTGTCCTGGTTGGCCTTGTTGTCCTGGTTGGCCTGGTTGTCCTGGGTAGCCTGGTTGTCCTGGATTGCCTGGTTGTCCTGATTGACCCGGTTTTCCTGGTTGACCCGGTTGTCCTGGGTAGCCTGGACTGCCCGGTTGTCCTTCAGTGCCCGGTTGTCCCGCAGTGCCAGGTTGCCCTGGTTGCCCTGGGTAGCCTTGTTGACCTGGCTGCCCAGGAGTTCCTGGTTGGCCTGGAGTGCCTGGTTGTCCTGGTTGACCCGGTTGTCCTGGGTAGCCTGTTTGTCCTGGTTGTCCTGGGTAGCCTGGTTGTTCTGGGTAGCCTGGTTGTCCCGCAGTGCCAGGTTGTCCTGGAGTGCCCGGTTGTCCGGGTTGACCCGGTTGTCCTGGGTAACCTGTTTGTCCTGGTTGGCCTGGTTGTCCTGGGTAGCCTGGTTGTCCTGGGTAGCCTGGTTGTCCTTGAGTTCCTGGTTGACCTGGAGTGCCGAACTGTCCAGGCTGCTGAGGTTTTTCTTGTTGAGTAGGCGGAACTATCGGTTGTCCTGCAAACATTACATTTTAGTAATATAGTCAAACCCGGATTAGGATGAAGATTTTTCTACCTAAAACTGATAAAGAGAAATAGAGCCCTTATGAACGAGAGATTCTCTATAAGTGAGACTTATCAATGTCTACCATTATTATATAAACGGTAGTCGAGTTCGCAACTGAGTTTTAAATTTTGGTAATCTGAATGTCTGTGCATATTCTGTGCATGCTTTTATTGTAAATAGAGTTTAAATAATATAGTAATTATTATCTCGGTTTTTTTTTTCAGAGTAAATAACCGTAACGGCAACATTGTAATACAAGTGTTACGAAAGTGGAAACTATGTGAAAAGATAAGTTGTGTTAAAAATAGATTACACGGAACAACCGTGTAGAAAATATATTTTTTTCGATATAACATATATTTCTATTTTTAAACTTAACTTATTTAATTTATTTCAATAACAAATTTTATATTTTCCTCCCAAAATGGGTTGGCGTCAGGCGACTGTCCGTAAAAGATTAAGCCAAAACTTTAACGTTTATTAAACTTTGTGCGCCCAACCGCACCTATGTTGATAAGGTAAGAAAGGTGATTAAATTAGTCTATTATTCAATAATAAATCTCGGCTCGGATCTCGACTCGGCAAGAATGTTTACCTTGTCCGCTCCCTGGCTTATAGCTGCCGTCGGGTCCAGTGGTACCGGGCCCTCCCGGTCCACCGGGGCCACCGGGACCGCCAGGTCCTCCAGGGCCGCCGGGCCCTCCAGGGCCGCCAGGACCACCTGGGCTACCTGGAGTTCCCGGGGTACCAGGTGTACCAGGGTAGTAACCACCTATCGAAAGAAGATATTATAAAAAAAAACTATAAAATGCGCTAAAAACTTGTAATGGGTGACCCTGCTTTAGCAATACAGTATTTTCCTACTAACACTACATTATAATAAATCTAATGTTTTTTTCCTTGGCAAGTTAAAACACACAGTACTGAAAAACAGTTGTTTGTATAAATAAATAAGTTTGTTTTTAACCTATTGAAAGGTTTACCTTGTCCTGGATAATAACCGCCATTGGGACCGCTAGGACCACTGGGTCCACTGGGGCCACCGGGACCACTAGGGCCGTTGGGGCCTCCAGGGCCGTTGGGGCCTCCAGGTCCACTGGGACTTCCGGATCCGCCAGCAGTGCCAGGTCCGCCTGGACCACCGGGTCCTCCGGGGCCACCTGGGCTACCGGGAGTTCCTGGGCTGCCTGGGGTACCTGGTGTCCCTGGCGATCCTGGGGTACCCGGATAGTAACCTCCTTGACCTGCCGTAATAATTATACATTTTTTATTACAAAATTGAAACGAATACCTGAATCATTTTATATAGGTCGTTTCCCAGTCGATCATAGTCGACAAAAAAGCAATATATGTAGTTGTTTAGACAATAATGCAATGACATATGGCTGAATAAAGATTCATTACCTTGTTCACTGCCTGGATAATATCCGCCCCCCGAGCCTGGTCCACCTTGTCCTAAAATATAAGACAGTTAAATAAATCAATAGATAATGGTATTTTCTGTGTTAGAATGTTTAACATCTAAAATGTTTTTAACATATCACTTAATTATAATATTATATTATTTAAACACTACGCTTTTTTTAATTAACGAATTAAAACATTTAATAAATATAACATCCTCATCATCATCGCACTATACATCCCTAATAAGGGGTTTGGAGCCTACCCTAAATCAGGGGTGACTAGGCCATAGTCAACCACGCTCGAACGTGCGATTGGCTGACTTCACACATATCTTTGTATTTTTTCTCAGATATGTGCCGATTGTGATGCGATTGTATCACGATGGTTTCCTTCGCCGTGAAAACGTCGGATAAATGTACATAATGTGTATATTGAACAACACATCGGTACCTAACGGGATTCGAACCTAGGACATGCATTTTACAAGTCAAGCGCTGAACGTTATTTTACAACATAACAAGTTCGTTACATCGTAAAATACAATACCTTGTCCGCCGCCTGGGTAGTATCCTCCACCAGATCCACCTGGTCCACTGGGTCCTTGTCCTAGAATTAAAATATTTAACAAATTCAACAAACGAAAAAAAAAATATCAGAAAAATATTTAAAAAAATGTAATCGTGAAAAGTACAGTAATGTTAAAAGTACTGTAGTAGTAATTTTTTCGGAGATTAAAAAAAATATGAACTTTAATAGATCAAAACGTTAACACGATCGATATAATATGCAAAGGGTGTTTTAACTTCCATTTAGTTATAATAAAAAAAGATAAAATCTAAATTGCATACCTTGTCCACCGCCTGGATAGTATCCACCGCCTGAGCCGGGCCCTGATCCCGATCCTCCTGATCCAGGACTACCTTGACCTGGGAATAAAGACAAAACTTTAAAAATTGTAAACACACACCTCGGACTTCATCTATACTGGTCCAGTTCAAAGAACTTACGTTTTATTATAACGGAACAGACGGAACAGAATGAACCAAGAAAGATTCTTTTATTCAATTCCGAGTATAAATAAAAAAGATCAAACGTTGCAAAAGAAATAGCTACAGTACGTGTATCAGATTCTAATATCAAGGTATAGCACATACCTTGTCCATTGCCTGGGTAGTAACTGCCTCCCGAGCCTGAACCCGGGCCGCCGGGACCGCCTGGTCCACCTGGTCCTCCTGGACCGCCGGGGCCGCCTGGTCCGCCAGGACTTCCTGGGCTGCCTGGTGTTCCTGGTGTGCCTGGGTAATAACCTCCTTGCCCTGCGATAAACACATGATGTATTCAAAATAATACATATGAATAAATAATATTGCACTGGCATCAAATGTTCAAATGTGCTTTGAGCTGGAATCTAAATATTATATTTTTCTTTGGATCGTTCCCTTGTAATTCTGTAATGATAAAAAATAAAGACCATCCAAATTCGCGACTGATTACCTCCTGGTCCATTGGGTCCTCCAGGACCATTTGGTCCATTGGGTCCTCCAGGACCGTTCGGACCTCCAGGACCATATGGTCCATTAGGACCACTCGGTCCGTAAGGGCCGTTGTTGCCTCCTTGTCCACTCGGTCCATAAACTCCATTGGGGCCTCCAGGACCGCCTGGTCCACCAGGTCCGCCTGGAGTTCCTGGAGAGCCTGGACTGCCCGGTGTGCCGGGAGTGCCTGGAGTACCGGGAGTGCCCGGTGTTCCTGGGGAGCCAGGAGTTCCCGGGTAATAACCGGGACCGTATGGGCCATTAGGTCCATTTGACGCGCCTCCACCTGAAAACCAAAAAAGATTATTTTTAAACGTGAGCGTGAATTGCGTGAAATGATCGAAACAATGTCAATTGGTATATTTTCAGTACATCTAATCAAAATATCGGAATAGGTACAGGTAGACCACGTTTACCACTGTTAAAAGATGTCACAAAATCTCACCTGGTGGCAAAACTCCTGGTTTAGGGTTGCTAGTCTGTCCGGCGCTGTCGGGTGGAGGGCGCGGTGCTACGGTGGGTGGTGGGCGAGTCGGTTTCGGTGGCGGCCTTGGGGGCACACCACCCGGTGTACGCCCGCAACCTTTCGGGAAGTACAGCTTCTCCCAAGGTATCGTTTGCCCAGGTATCGGTGGTGTTGATCCAGATACGTAGCTGAAGACAAAAAATTATTAACCTTAAGAAGAATGAAAAGCCAGTTAAAAAATTGCAAACTATTGTTTGTTTATAGAAGACTGATACAAAAAATCTACGAGACCTCATCGATCGTTCTAATCACGGCAATTAAAGTATCACTTACTTTTCATCGTATTCATGCTTCTCATCTGGGAAAACTTCGACTGGCTTCTCCGGCTCAACCACGCGGTATCCGTGGCTGTCGGCGACGTAGTGCGTGGCACGTAGATAGCCGTCAGGGTCAACATAACCATAGCAACCGTATGTCACTCCGTCCGGGCCGCGGTTCTCGTGGTGGAACTGGCCGTTCGGCCCGACGTCGTATCCAAAGCCGTATGCACCTGTTAAATAAATAAAAATGATTATTAGAAACATGATACTTTGAACTTTTACTTAACAACCACGATCGGTTGGATTTAGTATTCCTTAAAAAGTATTAAGTTATTGTATTTCTTCCAATCTTTTCACTACAAGTGTTAGGTACAGATGGACTATAGTTCGTCATCTTCAATTAACTTCGCGGTTCGGTATACGCGGTTTAGTGTGGGTAAACTGACTCATATTTATTCTTCCCGCACAAATGTGGGTAGTTAGAAATCTCTCACCGCTACGGGCAGGCGCGGGGCCTGCGGGGGCTTGTGCGGGAAAGTAGTGAGTCGTCAGAAAAGTTACACATCGGACGTGTTGGTTTCATAGCGTACAGGTGTCGCTTCAGAGTATACGCTTTCGCGTTCGGTTCAATTCGGTTCGATTCGGTTGGTCTGTAGTACGCTTACGGGAAGCGTTGCATCTGGTGTATCAGGAGTGCAGCAATGTCGGCGCCTTTAGATTATTTGACAGTAAATTATTCGACATCGATAGAGTGACCAGTACCCTGCTGGCGGTAAACGGGACATCGAGTTGGTAAGTACCACCTCAGATACTTACAATATTACGCCAACATTAACACGAAATTAATTCGAACGTGTTTGTCATGTAAAGATTTTAACTCTCTCTAATCAAAGATATATAAGATATACCAAAAACAGAATGTATACTAACTTGTATCGTAGTTGGTTTCATAGTATTGCTTTTTCTCATCGTCTTGTATATCGACTACAACTTCATTGTCGTTGGGATACGTTTGATCGTACTGACGGCCCTGTCGTATAAATTTTTCTATGTCCGCCTTTGTGACGTTCTTTGGAGATTCCCCGCTGATCACTGTTATGACCAGCAACGCCTGGAAAAGAAAAATAGCAATTTAGTTGAATTTTAATTCTGCGATGTTTTTATACTTGATAATAATAACTTTAAACCGTCATGGTGGATATAAAATATTATAGTACATTACATTTTTATGTATACATAAATACATGTTAAATATACTCCTCTACAAAAGATTTACAGACACATACTTAACATATGAGAGACATAAAATAAGAATAAAAACTTCTAACTGGTTCTGATATGTACGGGTAAAAAGTTTTAAGTTAAATTCAAATTTAAATATTTAATGTAAATCTTGTATTCATTTATTACTTTCCACTGATCTTTTACATTTCTTTTGACAAGTAAAATAAGTGATTATTAAACTAGCATGTTTAAAAACACCTATGGCCTAGTCACCCCTAACTTAGGGTAGGCTCCGAGCCCCTCGGTGGGGACGTATGTTGAGCTGATGAAGTTTAAAACAGGAGTCATACGTGTGTGCATTTATAAATGTAGGAATTGTTTCTACGACAAATAGGTATGTACATTTAAGATGGCTGTAAACACACGTCTGAGCGTAGTTAATGTTATTGCTACATGTTTAGGACTAGGTTCTTTTCGCAATAAATAACTAAACAGTATTGTATGGCGCACCTTTAATGCTACATGTATGGGAATATACAAAGTTTAAGTGTTATCTTAGTTTAAAGGAAACAGAATAGAAATATAACTTTATATCGTATACAAATTTGTTTAATTTTTAAAGATATAACGTTATAAAAGAAAAAGATTTAATTACTTGCTTCACATAAATTCAAAAGTACTATTCATAAGCTAGTGACCGACCTAGGCTATTTGCTTGAAATTGAATTTAATAAGTAGGAAATAAGCGAGTGGAAAGCCGCTAGCAACACCAGTAATTACATTATGTCTTTAATAAGGAGCTTATCATGAATATGATAATTTAAAACATGGTCGTTAAAAATAGTTGCCTTTAAAATCTTATGAAACTCACATTCCGTCGTATGTTTAGAAATGTTTACTTGCGCTGTATAAATATTTTTTAGCTAGGTGATGATAACTGTTCAAGGACATTTGTATCCTATTTGTAACATATTTAAAAATATAATAAAATAGTCAACAGTTACACTGGACTATTTTTTTTTATTTTATTAAACTACGAATTTTTAGAGGTTTTAACAATTTTCTTCAATGTTCTTGAAAGTCATAATTGGATATGAAGACGTAATTTAAATACGATATAACGTGAAGGGTTAAATTCCCTTAATGTTTTTATGTTGATAGGTTACATGTTACTTTGTTTGCTTAACCTGATGTGTACATGATCTCACAGAACATCGTTATCAAGAGTTTTTTATACATCTATATTTTCTCTAATGAGTATTTTTTTAAAACAATTAAACTAGTGGTTGACCACAAACTCAACTGATAATAAGTGATGTTTTTGTTAAATAATAGTACGCACCGGCTTAGTAAATGCTTAATCACCCTACTCTTGAAAACACCCACGATGACTGTCACGGCAGCACATTTCAATCCAAAACGTTAACAATTGACACGACATCCGAGTCCATTTTCACAAATTAATTTCTTACTAGTCCTTACTATAAAATGTTCTTAATCCTGCATTGCATAAGATTGACAGCTCAATCTTATTCTTATGAATACTTGTTGCGATCATTACAACGTTAAAATAGTATAAGAGTTGTTTACTTGTCTATTTCTTTTCTAAAATCTAAGTTTGTCATATTAATGCAATAATTATGAAACATATTACAAAGATACACTGTTGTAATAAGGAGGAGGCGCTAAAAATATTTTTGTACAAAGTTGATGTCACGTCGTGAGGTAAATCGGTAATCAATTGCAAAACTGTCAAGGAGCCACTCGACTGTATTGTGAATGTAAATATTAAATGTTAAGATGCTATCTCACGAAATGTAATTATTGTATTTAACCTTTGTAATGTTATATCGATAATTAATATCATTAAACTTTGATATGATATGATTTACGTTTGACATCGACATTGACATTATTTGTGATTAAAAGAATTTATTTATATTATAATTAAAAAAAAACTAGCTAGTCGCTCGCGACTCTGTTTGCACGGAATTAAAAAAAAAAACATTATTAGGAGTCTATGTATTCTTCCAGACTATGTTCTATATGTATGCTAATTTCCATCGCAATCCGTTCAGTCGTTCAGTGGTAGAGCCCGCTTTAACATCTTCGCACGAATCGGCCCGGCTCGTCCGGTGAGATACCACGACCACATAGAAGACAGGCGTGAAGTGGAAGCAATTCCGCGTTTCGTCTGATGAGTGTGCGTCCCGGAGGCCAAAATTAGTCCTCTTTCCCTTCCCACCCTTTTTCTTATAAGGAAAGGATGGGAAGTGGAAGTGGACTTTCCGGATGAGAGGATGCATGGAAAGGGAAAATATTTTCTTTCTGTGCATCCTCTTCTCCGTCGATTAAAGTTAGGCAACGCATATGCAATTGCGTATGTCTATGGGCAACGGTCACTTCGCTGTTTTAGCGATTTCAGGTGACCGCTCACTCGTTTGACACCTTGTAATATATAAAAAAAAAGTTAACTTCAAACAAACATTCAACCATCTAAACATTTGCAATATTAGTAAGATAAGATCTTTAACTTTTAATTTCTTTAAAAACAAGTTAATTGTGCTTTTTATATTAGATACTAAATAAATGAAGTAGATAGAAGGCAATTTGCTGACCAATATTTACTAAGTTAAGTCGTATTACGGCTTCGTTGCCTAATTGAGCGGCGCGGTAACTTCTGTTTTGCTGCTTAAACTAATATTGGATTATTTGAAGTAAAGTGGCGTATAAGAGGTGTAAAAATAATTTTATTTTCCCTGTAATGTTGTAAAAAGATGAAGAATGTCATTGTTAATTTAATTTGCGTAGATAAATTGACTCATATAAGGTTAATGTTTGTTCGATTTAAAACCAAGCCACGGTACATTTTCTAAATGTTATTCTTATGTATGTAGTAAAACCCGACAGATAAGTCTTTAATAAGGTGTAGCTTTAAATATCTGTTTTGACGCGTAATCTAACTAAAAATAACTGGTTTATACTAGTTATTTTTAGTTTTTCCCATTTTACATAAAACCCAGTCGACCTTTTGGTCGTTTGGTTTTATGTAAAATGGGACATTAAACTCGAAATTTCTTTTAATGATAGATTTAAATTCCAGTCCATTTATTTTGCAATTAAAGTTAATGAATATCCTAAGGATAATTTTCGTCTAACTCTACAAATACATTATTCATAACTGTAATATTACATTTGTGAATCGTCAATAAAATGTTGTTATTCAACAAAACATCTTTTACAATAACAGAAAAAATGTAACCTATTAATAATATTCTTTTTTTGAATTCTTAACCTTTAATTCGACGAAATTTTTTGTAGAAAAAAAATGTTTTTTTATAGTAAAGTCATACTTAGGTTATTTTCTCTAAACTAGTTTAGTAGATTTTTTTAATTAGTTGTTCGACACACTGGACACTATTAAATTAAGGGTTAACAAATTATTTAACATCGACTTAAGAAATACTAATTTAAAAAAATCGTATTACAAAACGCTAAAACTTTCTATTGATTATTTTATCTTATGCAAAATTAACGTAGAATCTTTTACGTAAATGACCGCTGCTGACCGCGTTTGTTATGCTAAAATAAACCCAAAAGATTACGGTGATGTGGATCAAGAGGTTAGGATTTTCACTTTATATTTCGAACCGACACAATCGTATTCAGTACGCGTTTGGTTTATATTTTAGCAACGTCCCCGATGTCCGTGACCGCCACAAACTATAGTCGTTTCTAACCCACGTAAACACACATACAAGGTGTAAATGTGTTTAATCGCACATACGTGTAAGCATTTGAAAAAAGCCGCATTTCTTTTACAGTGAAAATTCGCGACACAATACTTTTGACATAGAATTCTAAACGAGTATTGTGACAAGTTTTTATTAAATGCTTCAAAAGAATGACAATGTACCGTAACTTATAGACTTGAAAATGGTTATTTTGTAGTATTTTTACACTCTATGTCCTTTATTGCTAGTGGCCAGTGTCACGACGCGAACCGTTTTGTTTCTACTCGATTGCGCTAGTTTTTTTTAACTTTAGTTAAATAACCCAATGCACATCTTGGTAAACCATCAAAGAAGTCTATGTAAGGGAAAGGTATATAAGTTCATTTAATTCCAACAAATTTATTATTTGTTTGTTAATTTAAAGATTTTTGTAACGTGTATTAAAAGAAGTCCTTGGGAATATTTTGGAATGAATTTAAAAACAAAATCTTTAACCAATGTTATGTCAAGAAACATACAAATACATTGTGTTGGGTGATTATTAGCATACATAGTGCTAATATTAATAGTAACATCAATGCTGATATAAATTTAAGTCTAAAAACTGGTCACATTTTATCTACATATTTATTAGGACGATTATTCAAGAAATAAAGACATTTATTTTAAAGCGGATTTAAACAACGTCTCTAGCTCTTCCAGTATACTTTTAATTCAATTTAAATAATATAAAATCATTTTTTATTATCATTTATTAATATGTCAATGGTGACATTCAGAGTAAGTAACTAACAAGAATGCGTGCAAAGATTTAGTAATGTGGATGAGGCCCCAGGGGTTAGACAGGATCGCGCTAAATGGTTTGAATTGTCTATCCAATTTTTTTAAAGAAAGAGCAGAAAACAAAACTAGAAGAACAATAAGTTTAGAGATCGCAAGCAGAATTAAAAAGCGCCGTTAAGTTACAAAGTCTTAAATAACTTAGCGTTAGCCACACGAAAGTTAAATTACTCGTGCGACAAGTTTGTTTACAATTTATGTTTTTTTCAAGTTATCCTTGTTTATACCGCATTCTTAGTTCTTTTATCCGCCTAATTTTGTATTTAGATTGTTTTGTTTTTCACAGAGAATTCCAGTTAAAAAAGGTGAGAAC